GAGTAGATAGAAAGTTTAACCGAGATTAGAGCACAAGCACCGACTCATCATGATATTGATAAAAATAATCCCAGTCTCGAATCCCGATTGTACTAGTCTAATAAAAACAATGGATATACAAGTTGTAGAACCATCACCAGAGAATTCAGCAGAAATGGGCCATGTTACTAAGACAATTTGTTGGTATTCTGTTAAAAATAGGGGATATGCTGGGCCATGTGTTTCGCGAAGAGTAGGCAGTATTCTGGGCCATACGATGCCACCAACGCCCTCAGGCATTTCCATGGTCATGCGTGGCCTCTGTCGTTGAAATCATGGCTGCAGGAGGTCACGTATGTCTAGGCCCCTCGTATGACTTTTTGGGTTGGGCGCACACTGACCTTATCCATGCTTTCTTCGAACGCTTACTAAGCTCCCCTACTTCCAAACCCCGACCCAATCATACCTGGTTTCTCCCTCTTCCAGGTCATCAAGGAGTGCGGTTGCCGCCGAGTGAAGCTGAAACCATGGGAAACAAGAATCCTCCAGATGAGAGGGTGGTGTATCTAGCGCTGAAGAATATATTCAAGGGACCCAGTGCCGAAGTACGCCAGCCGAAAGCCATCCGGAAGCTCATCGGCCGGAGCCGACACCAGGAGGATGTTGCAGATCTGATTAAGGCGCATAACATAGACACAATATGCAACACGGCGCGTACCTTGCTCACTGAACAGCACTTAAGGCGAAGATCCGCTTTCCGGAGGTGTTCGATGTGTCTCCAGTCCAGAGCGCAGAGAGGGAGGCGTCCGAGGCTGAGGCTGCCAGGAACGAGGCAAATGCAATCAAAGACGCCGTGCATGGCCCCCAGGAGCACGCTCGGGATGTGATTCAGGTCAGAAGAGCGGTTGAGACGGGGAGAGGTGAGCAATGTTTCCTTTCAACGGAACAACTTCCAGGTGCCCGAGCGAGCCGCTGACCATGTCTGCTCGGTCTGGCGTTGTCAAGATAATAAGCCGTCGACATTAAAGAAATCGCGCCACATTCCCTCGCTATTTCCGATCTACCTGCCCTTAAGATCCCAGCACCTGCTTCTGGCAAAGGTGCAAACCATCTTGGAACAGACATGCTTTGAGTTTGGGCAGCATGTGATGCCGGATGTTCTGCAGAAGAATCACTGGGATTGTCCTGAATCGGCTGACCTTAATGTCTGGGCTACAGAATTGCTACCGCGCCAGGATGTGTTTGCTGACAATAAGGGCTATGTGGGAAAGCCTCTTGAGAAGCTATTCCGCTCTGTAGCTGACATCCGGCATACTGCTGTGCACCGTATCCATGTCAGCGCGAGGGGAATGTTGCAGTTCTTACTCGATGCTGACACCCTATCCATGCGGCTGGGACACATGGTACGCCTGAAGTTGTTGATAGACCTTCGGCGGGACACGCAGTCGGCGATTGAGGAGCTGGAGCGCAACAAGCACCTCTCTGGGCTCGAAACTCGACGAGACACTAAAGAGGATAGCCCGCTCAGCGGGGAAGGAGCTCGACCGTGTCGAGCAGTCGGCTATAACTGAGATGGTGAAGGAAGATGGCGAGTACCAGGTGTTGGCTGGCTCGAACTTGGAGCAGGCCATTGCGTCCTCGGAGGCGATGGCTCTGACTGCTGCCGTTACAGGGAATGAGACAAGTTCTGACATGGATGACGTGGATAGTGTCGAAGACTGTCGTGTGTCCGGCTTGGCTGGATATAGCATGCAAACTGATATGTAACTTTGCTATTACTTTGTGTATTTCCTTGCCCGTCTAAGCTCTACACTTGTCAGGTAGCGAAAATTCGATCGCCATTGATTCGGAAATTAATGCATGAATACGCTTGACCTTGCAGAGATATCATGGGAACCTCTCCCATGGAGTTTCTGCAATGAAGTGAGATGAGTTCATAGGAACGGTATGCGAATACACCATCTACGGAGTGGCAGCGCTCGTATTTTCCGCTAACGTTGACAAAACGTTCAAAGTCGAACAGCTTGCAGAAGATCTCGAGGGGTCTATCTGTTATAAAGGATTATTGCAAATCTACTTGGCCATCTTATAACTGTGGAACAAAATCCACGAATCTCGATGTCTATTTAGAAATAACCCAGAAATACAGTCGGGTACATTTTATAAAACCACCCAAAGGCAGATATCCAGAAATGCAGAGATGTGGAAACGGGAAACATACGTTGACAAAATAGCCGCGAAGTGCTCGGTGTGAAAACAGGACCTTGATATAAGCGAAGAGATAACAATCAAGTGTTGGCTATCCTTCATTCCTTCCGTTGAACCCAGCTTAGCTGCTCAAGAGCTGTGCATCCTGAGAAAAGGTCAGCCGCCCAACCTTGATTAAGAAAAAGAAAAAAACGAAAAAAAGAGGCCGAGGGCGTTTCCGCGCTGTTCCGCTGAATAAGGACAGAGTGTGGGAAAGACGTATAGACCTGCTTTGCCCTCTATAAACAGGCTCAATCTAGGTCGTGACTTGGAATAATTGCAACCGGAGGCACATAAAGCATCAAAAAACGAAAAGGCTTTGAGAGATAAGAAAGAATCCAAGCCCACCTCGCTTCGTTACATACTGAGGCCAAAACAAAGCTGCTGACCAAAGAAATATCTAACCACTCGACTTTACAATCTTGTATCTATTGCCCTTGCGTGGTCTCCGTCTCTGCTTGAAATGCCTATAGCCCGCCAGGGTAGTCAATGAAGGCCGCTTGTCCTTCCACTCCTCATGGTATTCCCCGACCAACCCTTCGCAACCCGGAATCAGGTCACTCCGCGGTTGCCAGGTAGGCCTCCATGCGACAAGGTACTCCAGAATTGCCTGGCCCCCTCGTACGCGGATCCGAGAGTTCAGTATCCTTTTTATTAGCCACGTAGTTACACCATTACGATCAGCCGGGATCGAAGGAAGATGATACGCGTCAAAACGCTCATGGCGCTCCAGCATAGTTGTTGAGGGCCGCTCGTCTCCCCACTTCGCATGGAATTCTTCAATCAATGCATGGCAGCCCAGAATCAGGTCTCGTCGCAGTTGCCAGGTGGGCTCCCATACGACAAGGTACTCCAGGATCGCCTTGCCCTCTCGCTTGCGGATCCGGGAATCCAGTATCTTTCTTACCGACCACTCCAGCCTAGTCACGGGTTCAACCGGGATAGGAGATCGACTCTGTGGGCGTGGAGAGACACTGGTGTGGGGCTCGCCGGAAGAGGTCGATTTACCCACGGACAATTGAGGAGTTTCTGTTGACGGTCAGTGGGAGAATAGGACGGTAATGCAACGGACCTTACCTGAAACTTCTCGCGGAGCCAATGCGGCTCTGCCATCCGCCATATGATCAGGTTCGTCACCTTTATCGGTGGATGCCTTGTGGGCGGATGATAACTGCGGAGGTGTCGGCGCATCCGCAGACTCATTTGCGGGATTCATCATCCTGACAAATCTCCATTGAAATCATCTACGGCAATGGGATTATCTGACGATAGGACTGAGTTAATGGAGTGGGCAGCAAGCTCCGTTAGGGAGTTTAGAGACTGACTTCTACTTGCGCCTGGCCGGCAGACATGAAGGCCGGCTTCAGGGACACTTTCCGCCTCCGTATCCACCTTGATAGGTATATCAAGGCCGTCGTCAGAAGAATCGCTAAGGTCTGATCCCGAAGAGCGCTTGGCATGGTCGTTAGTGTTTATCTGACTCCCTGCCGAGAGGTTGACTCCCGTCGTCTGACGAAACTGTGCTGATCTCCTCTAAAATCCTGTCGAAATCATTTCGTGGAGTCTGGGATCGTTGGCTTGCAGAATGAGAAGAAATGGGAGATGCAACGGAAGGGGATGGGCGCGGGGGTAATGGGTGTCTGAGTTGCTCTGGGGGATAAGATAGGGAAGAGGATCTGTGGGTGGTATGGATGGGTCTCTGTGCTGGGGGATTGGGGAGCTGTGATCGTGCGGAGATTGCGGGGGGTTTCGGGCTTTGAAGTTTTTGAGTATGGATGAGGTTTGGAGGTCGATAGAATTGGATCTTGTCCATGGTGACTGCGGTCATGCTTGCTCTGTGCGTGCGTGTGTGCTTTTTCGCGAGATTGAGGTTGGGGGAAGCTGCGATTCTTGTTCTGCGATGAGAGTGATTTCGGGAGGGAAAAAGCTGACGCTTTTGTAGAGCCACGACTAGAAAAGCCCCTCCTTCGACAGAGCGGCAAAAGTTTACGACAGGCTCCCCCTGCGTCCTGGATAGACCGCGGCATCTTTCGAAAACGTCTCGCCTCTCTTCACTCCAACCTGGGAACCGCCCGCAAGATGTAGGTTAATCACAATGTGACCCGCGGAATGCAACACTAAGAGCCAGCGTTCCTCTGAACCGCGCCATCGACTTGTCTAGAGCTAAGGATCACCGCAAATTCGTCGGGGATCGCCACCCCGGAAACAAGCCCGCGTTACATTTCTACGCACCGTATCCATGAGGCGGAACGCAAACTGGTCATGAGATCGCACGATCGATGGCGAATGAAATGAGATAAAACGGACACATGCGGTGGCTCGGACTCCCTTGGATCAGGCGAAAGACCACACCCCCACCTCACCATCCATCCATCCATCACACGGCCACTGTCCCCTCGCCCCACTCAGCTGGAAACGACTCCAGCGTCGGACTCGCCGACATTCCTCGTCTCCTCGTCAACTAATAAAATCGTGATCCTGGCCATGGCATACGATGCACGGACGGAATACACCACGCTTGGACGCAAGGATATCGCACGGTCGACACTTCAGAGCAGCCAATGCAATCGTCGAAATCAGCCTGGGGCTCAGCTGAGGGGGTATTTTGCATCCACACCCCTCCCAGGTCACATCCTAGCGTACACAGCCGAATGCCACGTAATCTCACCATGCCGCAGGCGGAGCGTTGGGTGTTGGGTCGACGCAATCTCGGGTTTCGCCGACATGAGGGATTTTGCCATTGTCACAGCGTAACGAGCATGCGTGGACACTGTAGGCACACCCTCTCCACGTCACATCCTAGCGTACAGCGATCCACCTATCTCGCTACGCGCAGCAGGTGATCGATCACGCGATCTCGGTCGCGCTGACGTGAGG